ATTCCACACCCACACTTTTCTTTCTTCTTTTTTTTTTTTTTTTTTTTGGTCTAGCTTCAGCATATGAGAAAAAACATTCAACCCTTGACTTTGTGAGTCTGGCTTATTTCACTGATGTTCTCCAGTTCTATCCATTCACCAGCAAATGCCATGATTTCATTCTTCTTTATGGATGAGTAAAACTCCATTGTGTGTATGTGTTTATCATATTTTCTTTAAAAAATATACTCATATATTGTTGGTGGGACTGCAAATCAGCACCATCACTCTGGAAAACAGTATAGAGATTCCTCAAAAAGCTAGGAATGGAAACACCATATGCAAAATAATTTTTTATGAAGACTAATTCCTATTTTTCTATTTTTTAAGCATTCAAACTTCACCTCCTCCTCTTGTACCCACCCTCCAAAAAATGCACTTTAGATCACTTACACAGTATAAGCCTCTTCATGGTCTCAACCCATCCGACACCATAGGCTAGCTGCTGCCAGGCTTACAGCTCATACCTCCTGGTCCCCAGGGCTCAGTCATGCACCCACAGTAACAGCACTCTGCTCTTCTCCACACCGTGCCCCAGCCCACCCAGGAGGGCTCTGCTAAGCTCAGCTCTTACAAAGGATGTGGGTTTCCCTTTATGCACCCATGTCATTCCTTTAAGAGAGCCCCATTCCCTATGTTTGGGATGGATAATCAAGAGGATATAATTATCTCCCTATCTTTAAGTACCATATATCTTGCAGATACTATTACACTTCATAGGATGGTATTTCAGGTACCTCCACATAGAAGGAAGCTGACTTAGGAAAACCTTTTTAATTTAATTGCACTATCAGTTTCCTGACACAAACACACTCTTCCCCCATCTCCCTCCCCTCACAGTCTCCCACACAGCCCTAATCTATGATTACCTCTCCACAGATAGTCTACATCGGCTGAATGCACAGCCTGTTTTCAGTTCTGACACTAACCAGGATGTACCAGATCCATTTCTCCAAGAGAAAATAATAGGTTTCGGCCATCACTCAATAGACTGATAACTTCCTCAGAACAGAGTGTACAGATAAAAAGATAGGAGACTTTACCATACTCAGTCCCATCAGGTACTCAAATGTCTGGCTCACATGTGTCACTTAATCCCTCCAACACTGTAACAGAGTGCATAAAAAAAATGATTATGCAGAGTCCAAGATTTGGGTCTAAGTTTGAGTCCAAGATTACACAATAGGTAAATATTAAACCCAAGATTTAAGCCCARGTTGAATTAACTTCAAAGCCCATGTTCTCTCTACTACATAGATTCCTCTGCCCCATTTCTCCCTTATTATGATCCAATAATCCAGTATCAGAAGGGCTATCCCAGAAGTGGCTCAAGCTTCCTTGGAATCATTGAGAAAAGAGCAGAGACTCCAGGCTGCAGAGACTCGAGGGCTGAGATTACAAGTTGCCTGAATGTTGACAGTTCAGGCAGAGCTGACCAATCAGAAGGGTAAAGGGTGTCTCAACAGAGGTTATCAGAGTGGGCAGAAGGCAGATGATGGAGGGGCTGGCACATTGGTCTGGAGAATCTGGATTTGACCCTGTTGGCAGCACCACTAAAGGGTCTTCATCAACAAGCAGGAGTGGCTACATYTGTCTGTGATTTAGAAAGACCCCACCGAGGCTCACCCTTCTGTCCTTACTACTAGACTTCCCAGCCTCTGGAACCATAAACAAAATCAAMCTCTTTCTTTTAATAATAATGATAAAGACCCTCCAGGCAGCAGGGTAGAGAGGCCTCAGGGAAAGGCTGGAGCCAAGGACACCAGGCCATGATAGAACAAGTGAGTGGGCCAGGACCCCAGTCCACACAGGGGTGTGGGTCTCGAAAGACTCAAACAAGTTCAGGAGAAGTCTACAAAGCAGAATTGAAAAAAAAAAAAAAAAAAACTTGGCTTATTGATTAGAAAGAAGCGACAAGGACACAGAGGGGCTAAAAGAGGATGTGTTTTTCTAAACTGCCTAAGCGGGTGGACAGTAATACCATAAAAGGAAGCAGGAAGGTCAGAAAGGAATTTCTTTCCCCCTTGTGCTAGGCAAAGCCAAGGTCGTCATAGAGGCAGATTCCTCTGAAAGGRTCACACCCGAAGTCACAGCTTTCAAATACAGCCGTCCACCCCAGGAAGAAGTCTCCAGTCCCAAAGGATACATCAGCGATGGCTCCCAGGACGCCAATACTATGCCCCATGAAACCAGAGACCATGGCATGGCTTCATGTACCTCTTAATAGATTTGCTGACCTCGTCAGACAACTCAAAATTTCCCCCTCTGCTTTCTATTTTTAATTAGATATCTTCTTTGAAAGGCTCAAATCAGAATTCCTGACTTGGTCCAAATATTTATGTAACTTCAGATCTCTGAAAGCCAGCTCACGCTCATGGCAAATATGGTAGTAAAACGTTCCAAGAAGCTGGTTTAGCTAAGCGGACGTTAAGACTTTAATGGAAGTTATCTTCTGGCGGATTATCTGTCATCGGCTTGGCTGTCCTGGAAGTCCACAGTAGAGAGGCAGCAGCCTGTGTCGGTCTCCTCATCAGAGGGTGTGTGCTCCGTCTCCCATCCTCTCCACATCACTTCTCTAAAGCACATGGTTATCACCCATCATATCAGCCTCCCTGCTCTGTCCTCTTGGTGCTTTATTTACTCCRCATGAGTGAAGGAGAGTCCATAATGTGATCCATCCATTCTACAAAGTCTAGTCATAAAAGCAACACACATCATAAAACCAGGGATCTCTTGTTACGCAGCTTTCAGAAGAGAGAAAAGGGAAAGCACCTCTTTCTGGGTCAAATCAAACGCTCCAGCTCAGAAGGCAAGCTGAGAGGCCAAATCGGTGTCAGTTTCCTTGGCTGAGTCTGGCCCGCAGCAGCCAACTAGGGGTAGGAAAGACAGAGTTCCTGCCTTTGCAAACTGCAGTGGCCTCATGCAGACGGTGTTCCACAATCATGAATGGTCTTTATTCATTTGCTGCTCAGCTAGGGACCTGGCAGGCAAGGAAGCAGGACCAGAACTGATGAGTGGGCATTGTATAGCTATTAAGTGTCGAAGGAAGAGGCCCAAGCCAGGGTGCCATGCCTGACCCAGTACTCGCCAGCAGCCAGCGCACACACTGGCGGTCACGTTAAAGATGTAGGATGCTGCCCATCATTGCTTTCAAGATTCCTATATTCAGAAAAGAACTTATTTAATAAACATTCATTTGCTCCTTTCAGGAACTATTTATTGAATCAAAGACATATCTCTATATATTTTTATACACTTACCTAAGTATTTAAAGGTATATATGTTTATAATCAGCCCTCTGTTATGGTTTACAGATGAGGTGTCTCCCAGAAGCCCAAGTGTCAAGGTTTACATGTGAAAATGATTGGGCTATGGGAGCCTTCCCCTARTCAGTGCATTAATCCATCAGACTGGATTGACTGGGTGGTGACTGTAGGCAGGTAGGGTGTGTTTGGAGGAGGTAGGTCACTGGGCGTTGTGCTTTGGGGGTATATATTTGCCCCTGGTGGGCAAAGCCCTGCTCTGCTTCCTGGTCGTCATGTTCTGAGCTGCTTTTCTCCTCGTTCCCTTCCACCATGAGGTGCTGCACCACAGGCCCAGAGCAATAGAATCTATGGATACCAAGGGATGACTATTTATATAATGTATGTGTGAAGATATTGATAGAGTTGTACTTATAGCTATTGATGATATAGACACAGTAAACCATACATMTACTAAATGAAAACATGGATCAGTTCATTTAAAATAAACCAGAATAAACTATTCTGACTCAGAAACACAGAAAAACAAGAAAGAAAGAAAATTTGATTACATTTAAGTATTTTTGCTTTTTTTTTTTTGTA